CTGCCAGTCAGGATACTCTCTATCGTGCACCTGTAGAAGTTGCAGAGTATCCTGGAATCCATTTTGAACCTCCTCAACCTGCGGAGGAAGAAGAGCCGCTGTCGAGCTTTCTTGGTGATGGTGGTGGTGTGAAGAGACCATGTCAGGTCCTCAGTGATGTGGACCCCAAGGAACCTGAAGCTTTTGACTCTCTCCACCGTAGTCCCATTGATGGCGATGGGGGCGTGTCCCTCTCCCTGCTGCTTCCTGTAATCCACAATCAGCTCCTTTGTTTTGCTGATGTTGAGATGGAGGTTGTTATCCTGGCACCAAGATGTCAGGTTTTCGACCTCCTCTCTGTACGCCGTCTCGTCATCGTCTGTGATCTGGCCGATGACGGTCGTGTCATCAGCAAACTTCACGATGGTGTTGGAGCTGTGTGTGGCCACGCAGTCATGGGTGAACAGGGAGTAGAGGAGAAGGCTGAGCACGCAGCCTTGAGGGGCACCGGTGTTTAGAATCAGGGTGGAGGATGTGATGTTTCCCACCCGCACTGCCTGGGGTCTGCCCGTCAGGAAGTTCAGGATCCAGTCACAGAGGGCGCTGTTGAGCCCGAGGTCTCTGAGCTTGATGGCCAGCTTGGAGGGCACAATGGTATTGAATGCTGAACTGTAGTCAATGAACAGCATTCTCACATATGTGTTCCTGTTCTTCGGGTCCAGGTGTGAGAGGGCAGTGTGGAGGGTGAGGGCTATGGCGTCGTCTGTGGACCTGTTTGCTCTGTAGGCAAACTGCAGGGGGTCCAGAGATTCAGGGAGGGAGGAGGTGATGAATGATTTGACTAACCGCTCAAAGCACTTCATTATGGTGGAGGTGAGTGCTACTGGGCGGTAGTCGTTGGGGCAGGTGATGATTGTCTTTTTCGGGACAGGAACGATAGTGGAATGTTTGAAGCATGTGGGGACTACAGACTGCAGCAGGGACCTGTTGAAGATGTCTGTGAACACCTCTGCCAGCTGAACTGCACACACCCTGAGAACACGGCCAGGGATGCCATCAGGTCCAGGAGCCTTGTGTGGGTTAACCCTTTTAAAGGATTTACACACATCTGCCCTATTTAAAACAAAAGGGCAGTGTAGCTCCTGGTCCCTCTGTACCTCCACAGCCTGGCTGCTCTCAAAGCGTGCAAAAAAACTGTTCAGCTCATCTGGGAGAGATGTGCACGCAGACACTCCCGCAGCACCCCCCGCTGCTCCTTTGTAGTCAGTCATTGTCCTTAGTCCCGCCCACATATTCCTAGTGTTACAGCCTTTGAAGTCAGATTCCACCTTCTCTTTGTACTGTCTCTTTGCATTTTTAATTGCTCTCCGGAGATCATACCTAGACTTCCTGTACTCCTCCAAATCCCCCGCTCTGTGCGCGATAGTGCGCGCTTTCAGCTTGCCGCGCACATCGGAGTTTATCCAGGGCTTTTGATTTGGGAATGTCCGTACAGAAACCTTCGGTACCACGTCATCGATGCATTTCCCAATGTAGCAGATGACAGTGTCTGTGTGTGTGTTGATGTTATTGTCCTCAAACACACTCCAATCCGTAGATGCAAAGCAATCCTGCAGTGCTGAATCTGACTCCTCGCTCCATCGCTGTACTGTCTTTGTTATCGGTCTGTCCCTTTTAAGTTTCTGCTTGTACGCAGGCAACAACAGTAGTGAGATATGGTCTGATTTGCCGAAGGGAGGGCGAGGGAGAGCCTTATATCCATTCCGGAAAGGGGAATAAACATGGTCCAATATGTTTCCCCCGCGCGTCGGGCAGTTGATGTGTTGGTAATATTTTGGCAAAACCTTCTTCATGTTGGCGGTGTTGAAATCTCCGGCCACAACGAACGCCGCAGCTGGCCGCGAAGTCTCGGTTTTATCAATAATCCCAAACAGCTGATCGAGTGCCATGTTGTTGTCGGCGAGTGGCTGCGGGGGGACATACACTGCTGTTATCACAACAGATGTGAATTCCCTCGGCAGATGGAAGGCCCGACATGAGATCATGAGGTGCTCTAGATGTGCGGAACAGTCCGATGAAATAATCTTCACATCTGAGCACCAGTTGTTGTTAGTCATTACACACACACCGCCTCCCTTACTTTTCCCCGAGTTAGCAGTCCGGTCCTGACGAAAAATAGAGAATCCATCAGGGACAATGGCTGGAGTCCGGGATTAGCGGGGTTGAGCCAAGTCTCAGTGAGAATTAACACGTTACAGTTCTTAATGTCCCGTTGAAAAGCAATCCGGCTTCTGAGTTCATCTAGCTTATTTTCAATGGATTGAACATTAGCCAGAAGAATACTCGGAAGAGGGGGTCGATTCTCTCGTTTCCTCAGTCTGACCAGCAGCCCGGCCCGGCACCCGCGTTTTGTTTTCTTCTTGCGTCTCTCAGGTAGAACAGCAACAGGTAGCCATGGTGAATCTCTATTGTCTGTCGGAGGGTTATTTTTGTCCACGAAGTTTCGCAATTGAAGAAGTTCCTCTCTGCTATATTGTATGGCAGAGTAGGTGCGGTCGGCTAGCATGTTGCGAACCATGTTAAAAGTAAAACGGCAAAAGTAAAATAAATATGTACAAAATACGAAAATGGGCAAAGTTGGAGAGGAGCACAAAGACGATGCGGCCATCTTCACCGGCGCATCTCATCACTTTTCCTTAGACGTTGTTTCCTGCAAATTACGCGTTTATCTGCCTGGTACCGGGGGGGGGCGGTGCGTAAGAGGTTAAAGGGACATCGTGTTTTATGGCGAGGGATGCGTTTCCATGGAAACGGCATATGGTGAGATTTCAGATTTGGCGTAGAGCTATTGAGGCATGGACCGGTGATATACAAGTGAAGATTGGGGGACGATTGGACCGTGTCCATTGGACTTACAGCGACATCGTGTTTCATGGCGAGTAGTCTGTCGCCATGGCAACGGCATTTGATTTCATAATACGCTTAGATGCGTTGATGGCTGCATCGTTACCAAACCTGTGAAGTTTTGGGCCGTTTGGAACATTGTGTGTGAGAGAGAGAGAGAGAGTGTGTGTGTCTGTGTGTGGCAGAGAGAGAGAGAGAGAGAGAGAGAGAGAGAGAGAGAGAGAGAGAGAGAGAGAGAGGAGAGAGAGAGAGAGAGAGAGAGAGAGAGAGAGAGAGAGAGAGAGAGAGAGAGAGAGAGAGAGAGAGAGAGAGAGAGAGGAAAAGGAAGATAGAGGTATAGAGGAAGAGGAAGATATTGAGGAAGAGGAAGATATTGAGGAAGAGGAAGATGGAGAGAGGAAGATATTGAGGAAGAGGAAGATGGAGAGAGCAAGATATTGAGGAAGAGGAAGATGGAGAGAGGAAGATATTGAGGAAGAGGAGAAGATGGAGAGAGGAAGATATTGAGGAAGATGGAGAGGAAGATATTGAGGAAGAGGAAGATGGAGAGAGGAAGATATTGAGGAAGAGGAAGATAGAGGAAGATATTGAGGAAGAGGAAGATAGAGAGAGAGAGAGAGAGAGAGAGAGAGAATGAAATGAACAGTTAGAACTGACTCTTGATCGCCCTCTCTCTCTTCTCTTGAACGGCATATGATGACACCCCATAATTGACCTAGAGCTGTTGAGGGCACGACCATTAACCATTATCTGAAGTCTGCTGCTCTGAGCATGTCAGTTGGAGTGATGACATCGTGTTCCATTACACAGGTGTTTATAGTTGAGCTAACGAGCTCTGTAGAGATCAAAGGTTTGCATTGTTCTGAATGAGAGATAAACCTCTTACTGTACATGTGAACGTTTTGTGGAAGAACCATAACAGATATCTGTGAAATCTCAAAACGTGAAGCATGTCAAGGAAGTTGAGTATCTGAAGTGTAATTTTTGTGTACTTTCGGGTTAATAATGTGGCCTTTTTGGCAGTTTAACTAAAGGTGTGCGGCTGCTGCTGTGAGGAAATATCAGCCTGAAATTACAATGGGTTTTAATGGAGACATGTTGAACGTTTTTGTCACTTCATGCCCTCAAGAGGCATTTTGTTTAATTATTTTTTGCTTAATTATTTGTCATTTTTCAAGCTACGATATGTTTTCCTACGTTTGTCATGAAAAATGATGTCTCAGGAATGTAGGGTTTGGGAATTATGGCAGTTTAAAAAATATATATGAATTCAAGATTTGCTACCCTATAGCTGTGACATCACGCACTCTCGTTAATGTTAAAATCTGAAGAAAACCTCTTTAACAAGGTCTGAACAATGTTTAATATCTCTAAAAGTAAGAATCAGATTTAAAAGTTGTGTTACACGAATAATGTCAGAAAGATGTGTAACATTTTAAAGTTGGAATGAGGTTTCTGAGTGAAAGTATGAATGAACAGTTAGCAGTTGAAGTCGCATGAAGATTGTTCAAGTCTGAAGATTTTCTCCATTGACTTCAATGGTTAAAAATGGGATGAATTATGGGATGTATCTCTGGAATTATGAAAGTTATGAATGATAAAAGTAATAGCCTACGATTCCCGACCGAGCTGAACGTTTTGATGTTTGAACGGAGTTTCTGCGATGTTGAATGTGGGAGGAGAAGAGGGCCAAAATAAGTCGGCGGAATAATAGAAATGTTGTCCGTAGCGTAACATATAGTTGGAATGCTGTATCAGCATTCCCACTAAATTATTGTAGAGGAGTTGAAGTATAAAGTAGCAATAGATAGAATTACTTAAGTAAAGTACACATTTGTCAAAAAAGTACTTAAGTACAATACTTGAGTAATTGAGTTAAATGTACTTAGTTACTTTCCACAACTGGCTGCTTCACAGTAAAAGCAATGCAGTGCTTGCCGTAGCAGTAGCAGGAAGCATTTGGTTGACAGTTAGAGCATCTTCACACAGCAGCAGACTGTAGTTTGTGCAAAGAGCTGGTCAGAAAACATGAGGCTGAAATGAAGGAAAATAAAGTGAAATCACGAGATGCTCCAGTCCACAGCAGATATTCAACTATGCTGTCTGTCTGTCTGCAGCTGTTCTGGGAGAGGAGGTTGAAAGGTCTGAGGTCATCAGACATCACAGAGGAAGTACTGCAGACCCTGGACCTGCCCAAAGGCCTGCAAAGTAAGTCTCCATGGTGACGCTGAGCTCACACCTTGCTCCTGCCCTCTCTTGCGGTGACATGTGACCTCTCTCTGTGCAGGTGTTGGACCAGACTCCAGTGATGACACGCTGCTTTCAGCCATCGCCAGCGCTCTGCACATGAGCTCTGCTCCAATCACGGGCCAGATGTCTGTGGCTGCGGAGAAGAGCCCGGTCGTCTGGCTGAACACGAGCCAGCCGCTCTGCAGGGCCTTCAACGTCACCGACCAGCACATCCGGTTAGAGACACTCTGCATTCCTTTAACTGTCCAAAATATGCCTTACTGGGTAGAATCACCAATCGCAGGAGCTGTAAAAATAGTGAGAACAATGATGATCAGTCATTTAACGGTTAGATATTGCAATTCTGATTCCATAAATGTGTCTCCCATCGCCTAAAACCCCTGACTATACTATCAACTCAGTATTTACATTCTTTAATCAAAAGAAAATCAATAATATCTTCAAAAACTACCACTCCCATTATATCAGCTTTGTACGGTGATGCAAAACGACACCATATTTGTAGTTTATTTTTGGTATGCAAAGAGGTGTTGTGATAAGGGTTTTTAAAAGCCTATCTACTGATTTGATCAAATATGAAAGTCAGCTGAATTAGTGTTGATACTGCAAGGAGATGTATTGTGTGAAGAGAAATTAAAGATGTTGTTTAATTGCTGATATGTTTGTTATCCACATCATGCATGCAGTTTCGTTGTCAGAGTTCTTCCAGTTTGTCCAAAAGTCTTCTGATCAGGGCTCTGTAAATAAAGAACTACGGCAGATATGTCATATTTGATGCAGCCGAACAGTTTATTACAATGCATTTATGTGATGACTTTCAAAGAGAAAAGCAAGCACACGCGGATTTAAATATTATTTTCTTTTTAAAATATGTTTTTGTATTTCCTATCTGATAAACACCATATCCCAACGTGCATTGCGGCTAAAACATCCGAGAGCTTCAACGATAGTTGAGGATTATGGGTGGTGTAATGTTTTAAAACCAATGAATGTTGTGTAATTAACAAGGACACACTGGTGTTTTTTATTTGATGAGTACTGCATATATCACTGTAAAATCAATCGACAGTCTTGGGAGTCGGGGGGCTGATAATTTATTCCGGCAAATTACTCAGACTTTCTTATTGACCGAACAGAAGTTATTGAGTCTATGTAAGTTTACTGCTTCGCTCAGATCCACCAACGTCAGCAAGATCTCACCTCTATTAAGATCTCACCTCTATTAACTCTTCCGACAGAATCCAGAGGAATCTCCTCACGGATCGAAGGTGCTAACATTCAAACCTATAGCCTGACAACATTCAGAGGCAGTTCCTCATAAATGATCAGTAAGAATTCCGACTGAATCCAGAGGAATCTCCTCACAGATCGAAGGTGCTAACATTCACACCTACAGATGTAGCACTTAATTTCAGACGCCTACCCATGTGGGTCCGTGATCTGCACGGGGCGGGCGCCTGCTGAAAAGGAAAACCCCCCGCAGGACTTGATACGCCCCCTTGATAAATAAATGTAATTATAATTAAACCAGCTGCAATGGATCATGGATCCACCAGGGGTGCTGCCACAGTGGAACTCATGTGAAATAAGAAATAAACAGCTGATCGATCTACAGTAGAGGTATCTGATACAGCGGATATTTGTTAAGATCCATATGTCACGGATAGGATCATATTCTGTGCTAAATAAGAGACATGTAATCATTTACAAAACATCACCATGTTTTTATTTAACAAAATAATGTTGTTTAATCCACGTTGGTGTAAGTACAAAACCATCGCTATGTTTTTTTGTCAGGAAATGCAGACCGGCTCATACAAACGATTTGTAATCATCATCCTCACGATCATTTAATGTATCATATGTTCGCCGCATTGACATGAATGCACTAATACATGTAGTTTAATCCACGTGAGTTTACAACTACAAAAATAATCGGTTTGTTTTTATATCACATCCGACCGGAGGAAAATGCATTTTATCTCTCATCAAAGATGGCAGAAAACATGCATTATTGTACTCTGGAGGGGAGTTTGACAGGGTATTACTCAAAAAGTACACGATAAAAGTACTTGATTGTACTTGTGGTAGTAGTCCAAGTAGTACTGAGTCCAACAGTACCACTTTAACTGAGAACTTATGGCAACAAATCATTTTATCTCTCATCAAAGATGGCAGAAAACATGCATTATTGTACTCTGGAGGGGAGTTTGACAGAGTATTACTAAAAAAGTACACAGTAAAAGTACTTGATTGTACTTGTGGTAGTAGTCTAACAAGTACTGAGTCCAACAGTATCCTTTTTATTAACCTGCTAAGCCCTGAGCCTGTTTTTCAGGTCTCAGGCTCGAAAATGACATTCCCAGAACAAATGACCATATCTTCCCTTCTAAAAGGGTTAAATTAATAATCTTTTTTCTTAAAGTAATGATAAACCTGTGAGTTGGATGTAGATAAGTCAGAATCAATATAGATGTTTTTATTTTAAAGAAAATTCAGATTTTACATAGTAAAAAACTGTAAATTATAGTGTCCGTCCAAAAATTCTTTTTTACTTCTAGTGAAAACTACCCTTGGATGATGGTAAGGTAGACTAAAAGCTTTAGGAGCTTTAAGTACAACATATAAGTACCCTGTATCAAGATTGATGCAAAACAAGTGACATTTGACCTTTTTAGAGAGATTTAGTCCACCTCTGAGGTGATTTGGGTGAAAATGTTTTTTTTCTTCATATCTCTGGAACCCATTGGTCGATTTTGATGGTTGACACCTCTTTCTGACCGTTAGAGCCAATAGAATCGAAGGGGGAGTCCCCCACACACACTCATTGTGAAACAAAAAGGTGGGGGCTTTGCGCATGTAATTTTGCATTAGAGTGAAGCTACAGTCTAGCTCTGACATCTAGAAACGTAAAAGCATGGATTATCCGTTTTATTGCTCATGGATTATCAAAAATCATTTCAAAGGGACACAGACACATTGGATTAACCTATGGATTAACTTCAGCAGCGTTTTTATCGTTTTAATGCCATTGAAGACCACTTTGGAGAGACTACAGAGCCAAGGTAAAAATGTTAGCATTTTTAGCTACCTGTTTTGATGTCTGTTTTTGTTTATAACGTCGCAAATTCGTATAATTCAGTGATAATGTGGGTACCCATCGATTCTGTGTCACCTCACGATGTGAATCGATGTCATGGATGTGGAGAAAAGATAAATAATAAGGTTTTGTGAGTGATTTTCGGTGCAGTAATCTGTTAGCATTTTTCGTTCGTTGCTAATTCAGAGGCTCAGTGTTAGCATTGTGGGTTTTCTTTTGAAAAAAAAATAAAAAAATGATCAGTTAGATGAGTTTCTTCCCGTTACATGGATATAAAACATTCATAGTTTATTAAATGAACATGCCCTCAGACACTGTTTCCTGCAAGATGTTGCGGCAGTGCCCCGGTACCGGGGTCTCTCGGGCTTAACAATGTATGGCTAAAAATCATTTTATCTCATCAAATATAGCAGAAGTGGCATGATTTTGTTCTCAGGAGGGGAATTTGAGAGTATTACCCAGAAAAAAGACAGTAAAAGTATTTCATTTTATTGTTGGTAGCAGTCAAACTACGGCGCTCACAACAACAACAACAACGGGGGACTGCGTCAGGTCGATGATCGTGTTGCTTTTAATCATACGAAGCCAGATTAAATAAAATAACGACTTCTCCAACCTTATACTTTTCTCCAGAGTGCCGGTTCATTGTTTATTAATGTGTTTCAGCGGCATTTACCGACCGCTGCAGTGCTGGCTGCTCTTCCACGGGAGTCTATTCTCCCGTTAGCTCCGGGTTAGCTCACACGGCTCTAAAGTATTCACTGTCTGACTGTCACACAAGCAGCTGATACATATCCCCAGTTCCCCTTAAGTGAATGTGTGTCAGTCTGAATTGACGCTGTTTGGCATCACAACGCTGTTATGAAAGTGTCTCTGGTATAACATGGGTGATGTTAGCATAGCAACCTAAGCTAAATTGACTACTTGCTAAGCCATTTTCTACAGGCACATTTTACCGGCGTATTTTTCATTATGATTCTACTTGTGATAGTCGGACATGACAACCTGTGCAGCCCATGTATTGATTCCATCCGATAGCTGCTATAATAAAAAACAAAACCTCTGCCTGCTCTCCACAATGATCAATAACAGCGAACGGATGGTCAAAGTAAGGTACAAATAAACAGAATCACACGAAGCCTGGTTAGTGTTGCCTGACTATAAAGTGTTTTTTTTTTTTATAAGTGTGTGGTTGCCTTCTAGTCACTTTGCTCAGCGCTACTGCTTGTAGGCAGGCATGACGAGACTCTTCAGTCGACCCATGTTCAGGGGAGGTGGGTTTAGTTTCCTGCACGCCTCAACGTAAGAGAGACGTAAGCGACGCCGCCTCTTAGCTCCGAAGCTCTTGCTTCTAGACCGACAATTTTTTGGAGCTGGAAGTGAACCGGATTCCGGAGCTAAGAGGCGGCGCCGCTGCGGTGTGAACAGGAAAAACCGGTACTTTTCAGGCTCTAGCTCCGAGCCGGCGCTGAAAACGCGTTGGTGTGAAAGGGGCATGAGTGACAAGCTTACAGTTCGTGAAGTAACACTTTTTTTTTGTGAGTCACGACCTGGCTGTTTCATTCTAACATAACGCTGCAAATGTTATTCTTTCCACTCGGACTTCAATACAGCTACACCATTGTTTGGTTTCCATGGTAACGCGTCTCTTTAGTACAACTCTACCCTCTGCTCACTCCTTTCCTGTAAATTAAACTATACAGGTCCAGCCCACACATATGACAGCGCAGTTGCTCCATCATTCCATCTCTTTTTTTTTCCTGCTCAATACGCTCCTTGGCCCGGGACACACATATTTATTTCGATATGTTTTAAACAAGTTTAAATAAAATATGCATAGTAATTTAATAAATCCTTCCAACACACATTGTAAGAACAGTTCTGTTTCATATGAGTGTTGAGAGCTGTATCCATACATCTCTTAATTTTGCCCTCAAAGTGCACCAGATTGATGCATTTAACTTCAATTTAAAGAAAAACATCTTCTGTTGTAACAACAATAACATTATAAATAGTAACATAGCTGAACATGGTATTGCACATTTAGCTTTGAGTGTTACTGACCTGAGATGTTTTTATTACATGAATTAAGGTGACTGAGGCTTTTTAACAGACTTTTCAGTGTCCCACATTTTGCACAGAACTGTCCCACATTAGGAAATGCAGATTGTTTGAGACAACATGGCACTAAGAGTACTGATATGTCTACCATTTCTTTTATGAGTGTAATATCTGCATTTTCTCTTTTGGTTTGATTAGGACACATCCTGGGGATTGTGTTTACAAACATTGACCATACCGTTCACCAGCCCCCATCCCCCTATGTTGCCTACTGTATGTTGATTTTTGACTTTGTTTAAAGCAGTGAATTCTCTTCCTCTCTGCAGCAGAGAGCTAAGCGCTGTCAGACCGGACCTAACCCTAACCCTGAAAAGTATTATCATCTGAAATTAATCATTATGTTATTAGTATTAAATACATATAAGTATTTTTACAACTTGTATTTAGAAATACTCTGTTGTAATTATTGATGCATAAATGTGTTCATCCATTCAATGTGGCATCTGCTATAATGGGGTTAATGTATGATATTACTTAATAATACAATACATTATATAATATATGATATGATAATTACATTTTAATTGTATTCATTTCTTATTTCATAGTTTCTCATTATTATTATTTTTATCGCTGATCTTATTTTTGATTTTATTAATCTGTGTGAATCTGTGCTGTCCTGTTTTTCACTCTCACCCTGTTGCTGTTTGAACTACTGAATTTCTCCACGGGGATTAATAAAGGTCCATCTTATCTTATATTATCTTAATGTATAAGTTGATTTACTTCGATCTACTGTACTGTGTAAAAACACCACAACAATATTACAAAAAAATATACTGCATAAAGCAAACTATTGTAAAGGTAAAAGTATGAGCATAAAAAATAAAGAAGTGTAAACATTTACATTATGATTATTTAATATATAAAGACTATATATTATTGAATTACAATTAAGATAAGATTAGATATACTTTATTTGATCTAAAATATTGATGTTTTTTCGTTATAGCAGCCTGTGAAAACCATAACAAATAAGTGATTAAATGCTACAGTATTCAGCAACACAACTGCAGAGCTGCAACATTGCAAACAGACTAAGTTCTACAACACCAAGTTGTCTGTGTGTATTTGTGAATGAAGCGCCATCTCATGGTTAAATCCTGTAATTGAACAAATGGGGAAATTTGGCAACGCCCTCTAGCAATTTGGCAACGCCCCCAGCCACTGGGATCCGCTGGGTTTTTGGTTGGGACACACCCATTGGAGTCCTATCTGGAGTGCTACATCTGTATAGCCTGACAACATTCAGAGGCAATTCCTCATAAATGATCAGTAAGAATTCCGGCAGAATCCAGAGGAATCTCCTCACGGATCGAAGGTGCTAACATTCAAACCTATAGCCTGACAACATTCAGAGGCAGTTCCTCATAAATGTTCAGTAGGATCTAACAGTTTCAAACTTTCATCCAACAATTCACTCAACATTCAATATAAAGAAATGTAAGCAATATTTACCAAGTTTGAGAGAACCTTACAGAGGGAAAACCCAGCTCTCCAGGGAGAGAGCTTTACCGGGAGAGAGCATACCAGGGGAACCCCCCCCCCCCCCCCCCCCCCCCCTCTCTCGAGTTTGCTCCCTCTCTGCCAGTGCCTTTATCCTCAAAAACAGGACAGAAAAACCTAAAGACACGTCCTCCATACCCATATTTGTGGAAACTGGGCATGGCCTCTGATGTACAGGACTGGACATGACCAGACATATTCTATGGCTATGGCACACACACCTTTTTGGGGCCTCAGTCTTTCTCCAAAAAGTCAGGAGCCCCCCTCCCTGTGTACTGCTGTGAGGGAAGAGGGAAGAAACTGTCTCTCCTCTCTTATCAGTGACACCTCATAAACCATAATAGGTCTTACACTCAACTTAACAAACCACTTTGTTTCTACTGTAAATATAGAAAATCATAAAATATGAAGCATTTTCATTTTGGGTTAAACAACAATATAATTGATTATATTTGATTATAACTAACTTTCATTTGAATTATTCAGCCTAATATGGAAATCTCAACAACAGTGAGGAGATTACTCATTTCCGGGTGTATGCAGCGAGAGCTGCGTCCCTAGCAACCACGTTACTATGAAAACGCGGACACCGGAAATACTGTTTTCACGCCGAGAGATGACGATAACTTGACACATGATGATTGATACATTGACACTGGCCAATCTAAAACCTCTTTAGTAACATACTTAGTATATATAGAATTCCCTGGTGAGACCTGAACAAATCTTCTCCACAAAAAGTATTATAGTGAACCAAAAGTCGTGATAGAGGCTTGCTTGTCAACTTCCGGGTATTTCTCCACTGGTCGGCTATGTTAACAATCCCGTGTAACTGTGACGTTTTGAGGGGGGGTGAAATCGTGTCATCCTGACGTCTCCCAGTGTGGACCAACGTGAAACGGGTTGTATAAAACACATACAGTTACTGCAACCTGTCAGGAGAGGGCACTGTGTGTGTGTGTGTGTGTGTGTGTGTGTGTGTGTGTGTGTGTGTGTGTGTGTGTGTGTGTGTGTGTGTGTGTGTGTGTGTGACTTATCATCCTTTCGAATGTTCTTATCCTATTCAGGCATTCCTCTCCTATCCCCTTCCTGTCTGTTTCCTTTTCTCCCTTAATTTCCTTCCTTTCCACCTTCCTTTCATATTCCTTTATCCTTAAGTCCTTCCGTTTCTTCCATACTCTTCGTCACTGTGTCTCCTCCCTCCCACCAGCCTCCCTCCTTCCTCTCCCCCTTGTTTTTTTATTATCTCTCCCGTCCATTAATTGTCAGTTCCTCCCCTCTTCCCTCCTCTCTCTCTCTCTCCTAAATTGCCCCTCACACATCCTCCTCCCTTTTTAGTCCAAGAATCTTTCATTTTGTTTATTTTATTAGCTTTTTTATTTTGTAGTTATATCTCATAGTATTCCTACAATATTTCAAGTTTTACTGTGTTTGTTTTTTGTTACCTTTTAGGTATTTCAATACAAAGTAAAACAAGTACAGTGCGTATACTGCCTTCCTCTTTCCTCTGACTCCTGCCTGATGTCAGGCTGATCAGGGGCCTCATTTATAAAGCTTTGCGTAGGATTCACGTGGGAAGGTGGCGTACGCACGTCCTACGCCGGTTTCCCTTTATAAATCACAATCAACTCGAAATGCGGCGCAGCTTTTGCGGGCTTCACGTAACGCCCATATTTGCCTATAAATAGTCAAAGAAACGCCCCGTATTAATATTCATTCAGACTGACTGCAGGAAGAAGATCGCAGGAAATGCCGACAGAACAGCAAAAAAAGACATTTCACACCGAGTCAGATTTTGGTTCTTTTGGAGAGGTGGAGACAAGTAAATCATATTGTTTGGTGGATGCAGTTTGTACCAGAGTAGCAGCATGAAGGTCGGATCGTCACCAAAATAAATAAATAAGTGGTCCGATGTTCAATAACATATCCGTATTTATTTATTTCTCCAAGTTATGTTGTTGTGTGCACTGAGGAGTCTCAAACAATGTTTTGCAAATTAATTCTTCATATATGACATATATGACATGAGAGGTAACATTATATTTATGGTATTATTTTCACGTTTCTCTCCATTCTTCCTTCTGCCAACGGTGTCACAGTTTTTCATCTCTCCTGTTTTAGTGCGTACGGATGGGTCAGAGTGTCCGTGGAGGACCGCACATTTTCCCGTCAAGTTTGTTTTTTATAAATCGAAAGATTGCTTAGAAACTGGCGTACGCCATCTTTTGAGAGTACGCCACGTTTATAAATGAGGCCCCTTGTCCGAGCTCTTTTCCACTCTCAGCTTTCCCTCCAGTGTTCAACTCTCATAGAGTGTTTCTTTAAAGTGGACCTATCATGCTATATTTTAATAATATATTGTAGGGCCATACCTATATAAGGTATATTTATACGTTTTATTTTTCAAAATACCAAACATCATGCATTTTAGCCATGCCTCATTTCGCTCTATTTTGCTCTCCTCCACCCCTGTCTTTGCATGCGCTGCAGCTGACCACGCCCCCCTGCAAAGGAGGGGGCAGAGTTACGAGCGTCATGTTACCATGCTGTTACCATGCTGTTACCATGCCACGGCAACCTCTCATTCCCCTGATAGGTGGAGAGTTGGCCATATAGGCGGAGCTCCTCCGTCCTGACATCAGAGAAATGTTCAAATCTGTATCAGTCTGTATCAGATCCGTTGCAGCCCCGTTTTTAGAGATTTGGGTATGGAGGAAAAGAGAGAGGGTTGTGTTTTCTGACACTTGGTGAGTTCCCTGGAACACCGGGGACACATATTCATGTATAAAAGACGTACAAAAGTGCATTTTGCATGATATGTCCCCTTTAAGTGATTTAACATAATTCTCCTTCTCCATATTCGCTATCTAGTTTTGTTTACTTCATAAAATCAAATAACTCATATTACACAAAATAAAAGGTACATTTACAATAAACAAAAACTGCGAGAAAATAAATGTTTATCTATTAAATAATATGAATTCATATATAGCTCGAATAGCAGCTGTATGAAGGGGAACAGGAGAAAGTTAGGTAACAGTAGAGATGAAATTAACCAACTGTTTTCACTGCAAGACTCGTGCCTTACTAGCGTCTGGTGAGCAAAGAGAAAATGGTGTATCATGTGATGCAGCTCAACACAGCCCTTCTCCTGTGTGCAGGGAGCAGGAGCTCAAAGTGCACCAGGCCAGGAGGAGTCTGGAGGAGGCGCTGATGGCTGACGGCTTGGCTCGGGCCACCGAAAACACCCGGGAGCTGCTGGAGGGGAACAAGGCCTGAAGACAGACGGGTAAATGAACTGAATTATTAACCTGTTAACCTGTTATTCTTTTTTTTCACAAAACTGTGGCTCAGGGCTTCTTAACATTTAATAAACTATGAATGTGTCATACCCACCTAACGGGAAGAAACTCAGCTAACTGACGATATGAACCATTTTTACCGAAACAAAACACAAGTCTCACAAGAAGCGTCTAAATGAGCCCTGAACGAAAAATGCTAACGCACAGAACTCACGGTATAAATACTTTATTACTTATCGGATCTGCACAAACAAGATATCATCAAGCAAGATGAGATTCCACAGATTCTAGAAATATAAGTATCATCACTGTGCGATCAAAACTCGCGGCACGGGAAACAAACCCAGACAACACACAACGTAGCTTTAAGGAGCAAAAATGGCAAATATGTCTTACCTTTTGCTGTTTCTGATCAAAAGTTGTGTTCAATGGCATTAAAACGAGAAAAACGCTGCTAAAGGTTAATCCAATGTGTCTGTTTGACTTTGAAATGATTACTGATAATCCATCATTTCATTTTTGTCAAAAACTGAGATTTCATATTAGCTGCTATTAGCTGCTATTAGAGCTACAACTCAAAGAGACTAAAAAGAGATGTCAATCATCAAAATCGACCAAGGGGGGCCAGAGATAGGTCAAATTCACCCAAATGACCCCAGAAGTGTTTTATTTGTGCTAAATCTCTCTATAAAGGTCAAATTTAACTTGTTTTGCATCAATCTTGATACAGGGTACTTATTATATGTTATAGTTTGGATTCCTAAAGCTTTTAGTCTACTATCCCATCATTCAAGGGTAGTTTTCACCAGAAGTAATGTTTTTTTTTTGGACGAACACAATAATTTAAATGTTTTTACTATGTTCAATCTGAATTTACTTTAAAATAAAAAAAATGTATATTGATTCTGACTCTTCTACATCCAACTCACAGGTTTATCATTGCCTTGAGAAAAAAGATTATTAATTTTCCCCTTTTAGAAGTGAAGTTATGGTCATTTGTTCTGGCAATGTCATTTTCGAGCGTGAGACCTGGAAAACAGGCTCGGTGCCGACAGGTTAAGTACGTCGTCTGCCTTAACGCTTTGGAGTCGACCGTCACGCCGGCGTGATCAGATCACATGACCTGTTCAAGCCAGTGCCGCATAAAAACAACAGTCCGGACGACAACATTGCCGTGTGTTTCTGTCGAAAGTACTGGCTTGAAACTATATGCCAGTCTTTGTTTCATGCAAAAAGACCCAGTAAACACGGAGATACAATGACATGAAGTTAATACAAATATATTTCAAAAGTATGAAAAATGGAAGCACATATTTTAATATCTTCGCCGTATTTTATCATTTTACGAAACGGAAAATACTGGAAACTGTAGATCCTGCTCAACAGGATGTATTTACCAGGGAGGGGGTGAGGTAATCATGTAAACGGAGTGATACGTAACGAGACGAAAAGCGACGAAGAGGGACGGCGGGAACCGAAGAGAGACGGCAGGAAATGGAGAGAGACGAAGATATACGAAGACAGGCGGCGGGCGGCGGGAGACGAAGAGAGACGGCGGGAGATGAAGAGAGACGGCAGGAGACGAAGAGAGACGGCGATTGAAGTAAAGTGACAGACAAACATTGAGAATTTAGATATAGTTAGATAGATTTAGAGTTTTGAAGATTCAACGATGATGAAGAGAACTCTGAACGTGAGTCAAGCTATAAGCTTGTTTTTTGACATGGAGGAGGAGGAGCCTGTGATGTTGCCCTCTGTGTCGTAGTTGACAGAAACTGCTTTGAAGCGTGGCACAGATAAAGACAGAAAAAACTGATTTTTTTACATAATGTGTATATATATTTGTATTATATTTATAATAACACTTTTGCATTATCAGAATGAAATCCAATGTACATTATTTAAGCTTTTAAATGTTTTGTTGTGCCTACTGTGTCACTGTTGACAGAACTTGAGAAATGAGGAAAAAACGCCTATGGATACACCTGTTATTTGCTCATAAAATGTGTATATAGGTTCTTGCTACCTCAATCAAACTTTCACATTATCATAGTGACATCCCATGTATATATTTCCAGCTTTCAAATTGTTTCCGTTGTGCATGTTTGTGTTACCTATATAAAAAATAATATCATTTTCAAAATCCGTTTTTACATTTTTTTGTGATTTTGGATCCAAAATGTTCATATAGTATCTCAAAATGGAAAAAATAACTATCAGGTTATATAGGTGAGGTTGTCCTTAAAAATAAAATACCAAACATTGACATGCCAAACATTTCTTAATGGGGTTTAGTAAGACAAATCAAAAGTATGCGAAAACGGCCAAATTAGCCCAGGACTCCAAAGGGTTAAAACAGCAGTTAATTGAACCTGGTTCTACAGGAGTTAGTAGAGGTAAGACCTTGCCGATCATGGTGGATCCGAGCCTGGCAATAAAGTCGCATAGACTCAATAGCTTCTGATAGGTCAATTAGTAGGTCTGAATTAATAGTCAGAAAAAAATGTATACAGACCCGCCAACCTCAACATAAACTATTAGCCTCTTAAGGACGACGGTCCCCCCAGTGGACCCCCCCCCACCGTTTTTTTTCGAGACTGTCTCAGGGCTTCTTAACATTTATGAAACTATTAATGTGTAGCACCAGATTAACGGGAAGAATCTCAGCTAACTGAAGATATGAACCATTTTTACCAAAACAAAACACAAGGGTAATACCAAGCCTCTGAATTAGCACTAAGCGAAAAAATGCTAACGCACTTTAGCACACAACTAAAGATACCCTTATTACTTATCGTAGCTGCACATACAATATATCCAATTAAAGCTGAGACTCCACAGATTATATAGTTATAGTATCATCACTGAGCGATCCGAACTTGCGACAGGGGAAGCAAACAGACATCACAACACGTACCTTTACGGAGCTTTTACGGGAGATCGTCTCACTGTAGCTGTCAATCTGATCAAAAGACGTGTTCAATGGCATTAAAACCAAAAATAACGCGCCTACAACTGTTGATCCATAGGTTAATAATGTATCTGTGCCTTTGAAAAAATTATTTATAATCCATAATTCCATTTTTATGTAAAAATCGGAGAGAGAAAGTTAGCTGCTAATGGTAGCCACCAGAGTGTATGCAGCTTCCGGTTTTGGTAACGCGTCACTCTCACTCCTTATTTGTTAACGTGTTGGTGTGTATAGAACTTTCCCTCGATTCCATTGGCTCTAGCGGTTATAAAGATATTTCATTCATCAAAATCGACCAAGGGGGGCCAGAGATAGATCAAATCCACCCAAATGACCTCAGAGGTGGGTTTTTTTGGCTAAATCTCTCTTAAAATGTCAAATTTCACTTGTTTTGCATCAATCTTGATACAGGGTACTTATTATATGTTGTACTTTGGATTCCTAAAGCTTTTAGTCTACTAACCCATCATCCAAGGGTAGTTTTCACTATAAGTAAGTTTTTTTTTTTTACTATGTTCAATCTGAATTTTCTTTACAATAAAAAACATCTATATTGATTCTGACTTTTCTACATCCAACTCACAGGTTTATCATTACTTTGAGAACAAAGATTATTAATTTAACCCTTTTAGAAAGGAAGATATGGTCATTTGTTCTGGGAATGTCATTTTCCTCCCCCCACCGCCACTTCCGATCTGCCAATACTCTCCAGCATTCAAAAAACAACTCAAAACTCACCTCTTCACTTTTGCCTTCAACTCCTAATCCACTAACCCCTAGCTCAGGTTTCACCCACATATAAATCCAAATTGGAATGTATATGTAGCATTGTGAGAGGCATAAAAAGGCCTCATCTCGTCATTTTGACTTTTAAATTAAGGGAATTTTTTGCACTTCACATATGCCGTTCTTGAACCTCATGAAACCTCGTTCTACAGATTTAATCCGATCAACTTGAAATTTAGTCTGTACCACCTGAAGATTTCTTATTGCAATATCAAGGGATTTAAATTACTGTTACACCCCTAACACTTCATATACAGTATATATACAATATATATATATATATATATATTAGGGCTGGCAAAAAAATTATCGCCACTAATTATTTTGTGTATTTTTTGTCCTCGGCCACCCCGTAGTTTCAGAGTGCATCGAGTTTAAAATACCATCTACAAACTGATGCTAACAGCCCCGCTCCTGCCGCCCGCTTGTGGCAGACCACACTTCCACGCTCACCGGCAGGCCCGGACTGGCCATCGGGAGGACCGGGAGGGTGTGTGTATGTGTGGCGCGAGCGAGGCACACCTTACGTGTTGTTGTTGTTGTTGTTGTTAGCATCTGGTGCTAGCTAGCTGCGCTAACCGATATAAGGAGCTGTTTCAATGAAAACAGAGGAGCGACATTTCGCCGACAACTGCGCCGAGCACTTGACTTTATGCAGGTAGCCAGACAGTGGGACAATGTACGAAAAGTCAGCACACTCAGCACGGATAGTACGCGCAACATGATTGCAGCGTCCAGGCAGCTCCCGTTCGAGCATATATGCCTTGAGCTGCACATAGCTCCAACGATCCATCACAGTGTCTCCACATTCACACACACACACACACACACACACACACACACACACACACACACACACACACACACACACACACACACACACACACACACACACACACACACACACACACACTTTGTATTGTATTATTGTATGAGAGAGGTTCCAGGTTGAATTGAGGCGAATATTTGTAATGTTCAGAGGTTGTTGTGTTTAATATTCATGAGAATATTTGTCATTGTTCAAATGATAATAAACAAACATATAAAGCATATTTGTCCACTCATATGTTGATAAGAGTATTAAAAACATGAAAAATATCCCTCTAAGGTACAATTAGAACAGATACAAAATTTGCGATTAATCGCGATTAACTATGGACAATCATGCGATTAAATATTTTAATCGACTGACAGCCCTAATATATATATATATATATACTATAAAGAATG